CTCAACTTTTAGCGACGACTTGTATGTTGCCGCTAAAAGTTACAACGTAATTTTTTTTAAATTTTTTAAATATGTTGACAATCAGCGATGACACTAAAAAGTCATCGCTGATTCTCAACTTTTAGCGGCGACTTGTATGTCGTCGCTAAAATTTACAACGTATTTTTTTTAAAATTTTAAAAATGTTGATAATCAGCGACGACATTAAAAATTCACTGTTAATTCTCAACTTTCAGCGGCGACTTGTATGTCATCGTTGAAAGTTACAACATAATTTTTTAAAAATGTTGGCAATCAGCGGCGACACTAAAAAGTTGCCGTTAATTCTCAACTTTCAGCGGCGATTTAATTTTTTTTTAAAAATTTTAAATATGTTGACAATTAGCAGCGATACTAAAAAATCGCTGCTAAAAGTTATTTTTTTTAATGATCATAGTGACAATAGTCCCACCAAACAATTGTAACTTCTCTTATACATGGTTTTGACTTATTTTTATATAAAATAATTAATAATTAAATGTAATAATTAATTTAATTAGTGCCAATTGGAGCATAGTTTCAACCACAATCCAATTAATAAACTACGAACCAATTCTAAATTAGTCCTATTCACAAATCTGTCAAAGTCTTAGGTTTACTTAAGTTAAAGGCTATATAAATTTTTTTAAACAGTTCTCCCTTAAACCTATCTAAAGCCTAATACTGTAGGTATGAAAGTCTATTTAAAAAGTCTAATAAAAAAAACCTTTCATATGCTTAAATATTAGGCTTTAAAGTTTAAATGCCTTTAATAGGCTTTAGGCGTATTATACGTGTGTATATTACATATTAATTTTAAGTATTTAAATAATATATATATATATATATATATGGAAGAATCGCACCTAAGGCCTAATACATTTTGAAATTATTTTTACAGGCCTAAAAATCTTAAATGCAAATATGTTTGTTTTTTTTTGTGAAAAGATGCATTTGCCCTAAATATATAAATTTTCTGGATATATGTACAATACAATATCCGTAAAGAATATGACAAAGTCCAAACGTGATCAACACAATGGTTGTTTATTGCATATAATATGTGTGGTTATAAAGTTAAACAATAATGTACAAATTTTCCAAAAGTATGTATAACCAAATATCCATAAACATAAAAATGTCCACACATAAATAACACAATGTCCATTTATTATATATGGTAATAATATACAAATTTTTCATGTGTATATACAACACAATGAGTATAAAGAACATGATAAGGTCCGCATGTAAACAACACAATGTCCATTTATTATACATAGCCCATGTGGTTAAAAGTAAATATGTCTTTTCATGAAGAAACATATTTGCATTTGAGACATTTAGACCTGCAAAAAGAATCAAATATGTTAAACCTTAGGGTCTGTTTGGTTTGAAGGGAGGAGAAGGATTTTAATGGAGAGGAAGGGAGGGATTTTAATGAAGGAGAGGGGAGGGTTTTAATGTCATGTTTTTTAATTGATTTAGAAAGGGAGGGGAGGAAAAATAATTATATATAGACAATTTTACCTTTATATTATTAAAATTATTTTTTCCAATAAACTATAGTTATGAATGTTTTTAACATGTAATTATAAGTATATAGAACAATTATTATTGTTAAATATATTATTAAAAATCTATCGTTGTTGAACTTGTATAAAAAGATAAAGAGTAGCTATTAAAAAAAGGAACATATTGGTCACTATACAACAAAATTATCTCTCTCCCCTCCCATTTCCCACAATTTAAAGGGGAGGGGAGGGGAAATTTTTTAAAATTTTCCCTCTCCTTTCCTCCACTTTTCCAAACCAAATAAAGGGAGGGAAGCAAAATCTCTCCCCTCCCCTTTAACCAAACAATGCCTTAAGTTTCATTCTTACTTCCATCATGATCATAGATATGAAAAATATTTTGATACTTAATTAGCGTTATATATTTAATATATTTTATTTAATCAAATCAAGACAAGTGAGGGTTGTTTTTGTTGTTCTACTCTTCCTACATTGCCTAGTTGTTGGATAAAGATTCCTCAATAGGAGGGAGGTCTCTAAAAATGAACTCTATATATTAGGCACATCAATCATCAATTAATGTAAGGAAAGGGGAGTGAAGCTTGAAAACAAGGGGAAAGAACAAAATAATAGACAAGAGTAATAAAAAGTAGAGCCAGGTAAATGAGTTTAGGTTGTCCCCCATCCCAAAAACAAGAAAAGAGAACAAGAGGCAAGATAAGTAGAAAGTAAAGTTGAGAAAACAAGCACATCTTAACGAACTAACCCATCTACCCACCAAAATTTGAGGGTCAGGTTGAAAATAAGCTTGTTTTATAAAACGAGTTAAGTGAGCCTGACTCGCAAAACGGGTAGGCTAAATCACATGCTAGCTTGTTTTTTTTTTTCTTTTATTAAAATACGGTTTGAAAGTTCTACTCACACTTACACTAGTTTCTTTGAATGAAAATTAAGAGTAGGTGATTTTGGCCCCCAGAAAATCAAGAGTAGGTGAGAATTCTACTTTTTTGGTAGGGTCAACCACGTCAATGTTAGTGGTTAGGGCCAAATCAAGAGGTGGCTGCGTCCTTGTTGATAAATGGTTACACACAGATCACTTCCTTTGTGACCAAGTGTGTTTTGGCTAAAAGATGTGAAACGGCGACTCCTTTTTCTTTTTGACTAGTGCGTTTTGGAATTTGACCCTAAAAGCACGCTAGAGCTTTGTGCTCTTTTCAAAACCCAATTATTACCCCAAAGCTAATATTAGTGGTTACTATCAAATTATTTCAAGTCTTCAATTTTTTTTTTCCAAACATACATTTACACTTTGAAATTTAATTGAGAATCCGAGCCATCCTCAGTTTACAGTTGAGAAACCAAAGCCCGCCTTCACAGACTAGAAAAAATACTAGCCTGTTGATTTAGTGGCACCTATTCTTATGATCCTCCCTCTTAATCTAAGAGGTTAAACGATCAAACCTCCCTGTAATTAAAAGGGGACCAAAAATATGTGTGTGTGGGATTGTTGTGTAGTGTATGTGAAATGCCTTTGTGTAAGATCTTGTCCTTTACGGGAAAGGATTAGATAGGATATTAAAAATAACAAACACATGCTGGCCTGATTTGGTACTTTCACATTTCGGCTTTTGAAAAGGATTCTGGGAGGTTTCTGAAAAATCAAAAGTTGTTTGGTTTTGAAAAGACCTCGCAAATCTCATTTCAGAAAAGTTCATTTCAATGAAAGTGGTTGGCACCTGCTTTTGAATTTTAGAATGTACAACCACTACCAAGAAAAACAACTTTTGGCACCAAAGTTCAAATGACTTTTCACAACTAAAAGATCAGGGTTAACACTTTCATTGCTAATAATTTTTTATTGTTAAAAATTTATTTTTAGACAAAACATTTTTTAAAATAATAATTTATTTTATGTCGTTTCATTTCACTACAAGTGCATCACATGATACCACCTCATACCACATTACCTGTTATGTATGTGGTCATCACCTGTTATGTATATGGTAGATGATGTTATGTCATATGCTATCTTGTGCTAGGTCACATGTCATGTGTTTGGCAAATGATGCCACATCACATGTCATGTGTTTCATAGATGATGCCATGTTTGTTAAGCTAAATATCAAGTGCATAATATGATAAGTAATTTAGAATGTCATTGCATCTTGCAACATCTATATAATTTTATTGTTCTAATGCCATTTATGTATTTATATGTTAGTAATAATTTATATATAACTTAATCTGATTATAATTAAAAGTAATAACCCATTAAAATTTTAATTTATTATATTAAAATACTAGCTTAATAACATAATTCTTAAAAAATATGAGCTATATATATCTAAAAAAAGATTATGAATAATATAAAATTAAAAAATGATTCAATAATTAAATTTAACACATCTTCACTATTATTCTTTTTTTTTTCACAATCCTATATATCATTTATTTCTAATTTTGTATATAATAACAAATTTGATTTCATAAATATCTTTTGAATGATTTTATTTAATTTTAAATTTTAAAATAGTTCTTAAGAAATTTTTTAAATAATTTAAATGATAATTTTATAAATTATTTCATATAATTTAAAATTATATTTAATTTTTAAAAATATTTTTAGTGGAGCCAAATGTTGTCACCAAAAGTAATTATACAAACTATTTTTTATTTTTAAGTTATTTTTTATAAAAAAATATTTTTGACAATAACAAATATGATGATGGCAGCAAGTATTAAATGTCGCTGTCAAAAACATATTTTTGGTGGCAATCTAAAAATGGACTTTTGACAACAACATTTAAAAGTTGTTGCTACAAATCTATTTTTGGTGATGACTTATAATGATGACATTATATTACCATCAAAAGTAAACTTTTGAAGATGAGATTTAATTTTTATAGTTAAAAGTCTTTTTTTAGTCGTAGCTAAAAATCATTACTAAAAGTCTTTTTTTAAGTGAAAATTCATGCATGGTGCCTCAATTCACAATTTCAAATATAACCATATCAACAAAGATAAATAATATGCACGATTCAATTATGTATTAATATTATAGATTGAATAATTAATTATATTAATGTTTAATTTTAATATATATTGAACTATTTGTATACTTTTTTCAACATATCAAACTTTATATTATTCAACATATATTTAATATTTTTATCACATACATTTTTATGTCAATGAACGCAATCACTTATCAACAAGTATTGACTTTTCTTATATAAATTCAATCAGAATCTCTAAAGGATCAGGAAAGTTTGATCGATAGCAATCGTTTCTTAAATCTTTAAACTTACTATTTTTATAAAACAATTATCATAAAGTTACATAAAAGATAAATAATTAAATTTAAACTATTAAGACCTGACATGCACAATTCAAAACTGTACTGTATATATTATGACATTTTTTTATAAAGTAATTTTTTTGTTTTTTTATTTGAATTATAAATTGTGTTCAAGCATACGACAGAGAGATATATATTACAAGAATCACAAAAACATCAAAACATAAAAGAAAACATTTGCAATGATAATTGCACATGAAACAAAACATATGAAGTTTAAACTCTCATCAGTTGTCGGAGTGTGATGTTGTCAAACTGGTTCACAGAATAAGGGCTTGGCCTTGTAAGTTCTGAAGATACTTGTTCTATGGTTGGACGGCATCGTGGATTTTCATTCAAGCATGCAAGTGCTATTTTTGCAATCAACATTACCTCCTTAACAACTAGATTTGACGGTGGCGGAAGTCGCTGGTCCAATATATACTTAAAGGGTGTAAAATCATAAGATGTTGGAATCTCTGTCATAGGACAAATAAACTCACCAGGATGCTTTCCCATTAGGATTTCCAATGTAAGGACTCCAAAGCTATAAACATCACATTTCTCATTTGCTTGCATTGTTAAAGCAATCTCTACAAGAAGCACGTTAGCCTATGAGAATAGTTGTGCTGCACTAGATAGAATAATAACAACTTAAAATTTCTTTCACTGTAAAGAAAAGGCCTAACCTGGAGCAGCATAGCCAAATGTGCCAATAAATGAGGTCATGCTGCTTGCATCAAGTTTTAGAAACTTAGCTATTCCAAAGTCAATAATGTGAGCTTCTTGATATTCTGAATCTAAGAGAATATTCTTGCTCGATATGTCACGATGAATTATGGGACATGAGAGACCATGATGCATGTGGAATAATCCGGAAGCCACACCTCTAACAATGTTCAACCTCCTATTCCAATCAAGTGCAGCTGCTTGATTATCATTTTTTAGATTCTTTTCCAAGCTACCACCTTCTAAGAACTCATAAACCAAGTAGAAGAGTCGTGAATTTGAATAGAACCCAAATAACTTCACAATGTTACGGTGTTTGATTTCTGTCAATGCTTGAATTTCTCTTGAAAATGCTTTGAAGTTGGAGAAATCTCTATCACTATCAGGATGAAGTTTCTTCACAGCAAAAAATTGACCAGCGAGTAACTCAGCCTTATAAACACTTCCTTGTCCTCCCATCCCGATGAGATATTTGTCATTAAAACCCTCTGTTGCCACAACAACCTTTTCATGAACAACTTCCCTATCAAAACACCATAAGGAGAACAGATTTTGAGCTAGAGCTTCTCTATCATGGTTTTTTATCTTCATTGAATTTGACTTCTCAGAATGCAAGAAGCTCCAACTACTACAAGAATTAGAATTCCCAAACTAGAGAATGGTAGTATTAATATTTTGGGATTTTTGCTCTCATGACCATATGAGTAATTGACTTTATCGCAATATTTTATACCTGTGACATTACCACACAAACCAATGTTATTTCTTAATTCCTCAAATGTAATGTTTTGAAAGGCAGGAATGTTTGGTAGAGGGCCCTCTAATTGGTTGTATGATATGTCAATGGTTGTTAAGCTTGTCATGGTACCAAAACTAGAAGGAAAGGTGCCAGAGAGATTATTATGTGAGAGGTTCAAAGTTTCCAGCATCTTTAATGTTCCAAGTGTTGCTGGTATTGTTCTCTTCAACATATTCTCACTAAGGTGAAGTTCGTGGAGAGCATTTAATTGACCAAACTCCAACGGAATGCTTTCTTCAAACTTATTTTTGCTTAAGTCTAAGAACCATAACCTGTTTAATGATCCAAGTTCTCTAGGGATTGGGCCAATGAAATTATTTCCTGCCAACTCCAATTGTTCAAGCTGATTCATTGATCCTATTTCTATTGGAATCTTTCCAGAAAATTGATTGTTGCTCAAAGAAAGTCTTGTCAATGAGATCATATTTCCCAATTTTTTTGGAATTTCTCCAGACAACCTATTTGAAGAGAGGTTGAGTGCCCCAAGATTGGCCACGTCTCCTAGTTCTGGGGGTATACTACCGGAAAGGTTGTTGTTGGTAATACTTAGTGTCTTGAGATTATGACACTTTCCCCAAAATGATGAAATGTGACCATAAAAGTTATTCCCACTTAAATTGATGTATATCATATTTGGGTATACACCAAAATCACTTGTTATGTTTCCAACCAGTTGGTTATCATCAAGTTTGAGTCTTATAAGGCTGGAACAATTTTTCAGGGTTCTTGGAACAGTGCCAGTGAATTTGTTCGTAGAAGCAATGAAATATTGAAGGGATCCACCAAGGCAAATCTGTTGCGGCAAATGGCCAATGAAACTATTCTCAAATACTAAGAACATCTGGATATTGGTAAGGTTATTGATCTCTATTGGAATAGTCCCATTAAGCTTGTTCGTTCTTAAACCTAGCACTGTGAGCTTTGTGAGATTTCCTATGGTGGTGGGGATAGTTCCGGACAAAATGTTACATCCAAGGAGGAGGTTTTCTAAGTTAACCAAGTTTCCTAAAGAAGATGGAATTGATCCCCAAAGTTTATTGTCCCACAAGCTCAAGTAAATTAGACGTGTAAGGTTTCCAACAGACGATGGTATTCGCTCAATTAAGTTGTTCTCTGACAAATCCAAAACAATGAGAGAATTGAGATTCCCAAATTCATAAAGAATGGAACCTGACAATCTATTTTGACCGAGGTAAAGGTGTTCGAGTTTGGTCAAATTTCCTATTGTAGATGGAATAGGTCCAGAAAGATTGTTAATCCTGAGGGAGAGGCTTTGTAAATTGACCAGGTCTCCCAAAGAGGATGGGATTAATCCCGAAAGTCTGTTGGCCCCCAAGTTTAACAAAGTGAGATTTGTGAAGTTTCCAATGAAGAGTGGTATTGGCCCATACAAGTTGTTTCTCGACAACTCAAATAAGGTGAGAGAATAGAGATTCCAAAATTCAAAAGGAATGGGACCAGACAAATGATTTGTGTGAAGGGACAATATTTTCAAATTCCTCAAGTTTCCAATTTCTTTGGGAATACGCCCAGTGAGATTATTCGCCCCAATTCCAAGCTCATTTAGAGTAGTCAATGCCCCTATTTCTGGAGGGATGAAAAAACTCAAGAAATTGTGATCCATACACATTGTAAAAATATTCGGCAAGTTACCAATTTGGCTGGGAATAGTTCCATAAAACTCATTGCCACTGATATCCAAAACGTGGAGTTTAGGGAAAGATGAGAAGTTGAGACTGTGAAGTGTACCTTGTATTCCCATACTTGTGAGATTTATGGTGGAGATAGACTTGGATTCATCACAAACAATTCCTGTCCAGTGACTGCAAGGATCATTGCCATTCCAAGAAGACAAGATGGCTTGGCTTTGCTTTGCAAGGCTGGCTTTCCACTTTAACAGAGCATTTGCTCCCTCAGTAGCAGCAAGGGATGTTGACAACATGGCTGAGACACAGAAGAAGACTGCAAGTGAAAAAGTGAAATGGACCTTTTGGGAGTCAGATGCCATGATTCCAAGATGGAGAATGAGTGAGTGAGTGCAAATGGAGCGTATTGGAGGTGTTTTTATTAGGGGGGAAAAAGATACGTACGCGCTAATCCAAAGAGGACATATTCAACGATTATAAAAAGTAATTATATATTGTAGAAAGTAGAAACAAAAAATGACAGCGAAAACTAAAATAGTAGTTGTGAACAAAAATAAGATTATAATTGTTTCGTTCAATTTTAGAGGGAATTTGAATTGGTTTGGGTAAAATTAAAATGAAAATAGTGTTGATTTAAATCTATCAAAAAAAAAAAAACGTTGAAATTTCAATATATTTAGATTTTAACTCTAAAAATAGTTTGAACTTGTATATCGATTTCAAACAAGAGGAAGCTAGCAAAAAACAAAAACGAGGGGTTAATATGTAATTTTAACCCTGAACTATAGGCTCAGGGATAATTTAAACCTTAAATTTTAAAAAAGTATATTATGAATTCTAAATAATTAAAGTTGGGGTAATTTTGTCTCTACTTTTAGCTTTCAACCAACCCCAATCAAATTTATTTAAAAAAAAATTATACTTTAAACGTCAATTTGATGGATGGTTGTTGAAACTTAACTATAAGAATGAAATTATCTTAATTTTAATTTTTTAGAGTTTAAAATACAATTTTTTAAAGTTTAGAGTTAAATCGCTCCTGATTCTATAGTTTAGAGTTCAAATTACATATTAATCCCACAAATAAAAGAGGAAAAACTAATAAAACTTGTGATTGGCGGGTTTAACCAGTCCAACTAATTTTTTTCCCCCTCAATCGTCTGAGAAAACAAACTACGTACTGCGCCAAGGTTGCTGTAGATGATTGGCCATTGCACACCCTCTGATGCCTCTCAATAATACGACAAAAACCACACTTCTCAGTAATACACTTTTTCAAACACACAGTATTTTACATTTTTTTTAAAATAATAATAATTTAAGTTATACACAGTTATATGCCAGTTCTCCCTGCGATGGACTTTATGTTATAGTCTATACGATGAAACACAACGTTAGCTTCCCCATTTTTTTTTTTTTAATGAGTACTATGTTTGCTTCTTTGCTACACAGTTCTCTGTTTGCATAATATGATTAGTAAACATTCTTTGAATTTAAAGACATATCCAGATTTTAATGAATTCCCAAAACCCCACTTACCTAAACTTTTCAATGCAAAACAAAAAAAATAAAAAAAAATAAAAAACACAGAAGCCTGAATGGTTGATTGGTGATTGGTCTGAGGTTCTTTCCTTTTTTAAAAAAAAAAAATTTAACATTCTCACTAATATTAATCATAAGTTTGCATGAAATATATACTACATATATTACGATCACTATAAATAGAATTATGTGAAACAATCTATATAGTTAGATTTTAAGATGATCCAGTTATTAACTGTCTCTAGATTATAATATCTTGAACTTTGATACATATACATACATACATACATATATATATATATATATATATATATGTTCACATCTACGTCCTATCCATCCTCACAACAGCTGTCTTGCTCCTAAAAGGACACTCCAGCTTTGCTTACTTTTCAAAGCACATTAATTTAGCTTGTCCAAAACCAACTTGAAGATCTTCAAATTGAATTGTAATCCAAAATAATGCGATTTTAAAGATTAGGTGTACTCAGTGGTCACAAAATGTCGCTTCTTTCTTTCTTTTATTTCCAGTCTTTCATTCTTTCTGAATAAATTTAACTCCGTTTCTGTATTTCCTTGACCCTAAAAGCACGCTGCGGCTTTGTTTACTGTTCAAGACCCAATTGTTACTCCAAAACTAATGTTACAATCAAGTCTTCTTCTTCTTCTTCTTTTTTATCCAAATTTTATTTCACACGCAAGACATTTTTCCTATTAGCACACTGTTAAAACACGCATCCAACATCTTTTATATTATACTTTTCAATAATTTACTTTTAAAAAATTTTCAATAAATTAATTTGGTCCTTAATTTCAAAACTGGATTTTGAAAAAGAAAAATTCTTGAGCCCGACCCTTTGAGCCCGTTTGCTTTCTGAAATGGAAAGGAATTGCATGGATTAAAGAAATAAAGATAAAAATAAAATGATTAAGATATGGATGAAAAAAAAAGTCAACCATGTTTATAAAGGGGAATGGTAATTTAGTTCGTAAGATTAGGTATCATGATTCATGTGATTTGTGGAGGGTGTGATAATTCCCTTATTTGTGATATATGTTATTGAGTTTTATCATATCATGAGGAATTAGATAATTTAGTTTACTTTTGTTCTTATTTTTTAACTCCTTTCATTGTATATTTTTTATGAATGATATAATTTTTATACGGAGTCAAGAGTAGAGATTAACTTGAAACTTAAGTTATCGATGAGAACCTTGGAGTTAAAGGGAAACATCAAGCAGGATTAAGAAGGCATATGCACTACAATTTTGATAAGAGGTCAATCAGTAGTTTTTCAAAAGTGAGATTAGAAGATCAGATCATGTCACAAGTGAAAAAGTTTAGATATTTAGGAGTATTTTTTCAAAGTGATGAGAAAATTTATGGAGATATTGCACAAAGGATACCAGTTGGATAGTTTATATGGAAAAAGGCTACTAGAGTTATTTGTGATTGGAAGGTAGTTAAAAATTTAAGGAAAATTGCTATGAGACTAGTCATATTTTATGGTAGTAAACACTACAAAAAACTGACTTTTGGTGATGAATTTTAACAACGTCAAATCAAAATCACTGCCAAAAGTCTACTTGTGGCAATGATAATATGTGCCACCAAAAGTTACCATCAAAAATATACTTTTGATAGTAACAATTAAATATTACTGCTAAAACTGTACTTTTGGTGGTGACTTTTAATAGTTACAACCAAAAGTGATTTTTTGGCTATAACAATTATTTTATGAAAAATGATTTAAAAATTAAAAATAATTTGTATAATTACTTTTGGTGACAACATTTATCTCCATTAAAATTATTTTTAAAAAATTAATATAATTTTAAATTATATGAATAATTTTTAAAATTATCATTTAAATTATTAAAAAATTATTAATTATTTTAAAATTTTTAAAATTAAATTAAATTGTTCAAAAGATATTTATGATATAGAATTAAAAATAAATGATATATAGGATTGTGAAACAAATAGAATAATAGTGAAGATGTGCTAAGTTTAATTATTAAATTATTTTTAAATTTTGTGTTATTCATAATCTTTTTTTTAGACATATGTAACTCATACTTTTTTAAGAATTATATATTAAGCTAGTATTTTAATGTGATAAATTAAAATCTTAATGGGTTATTATTTTTAATAATCAGCTTAAGTTATATCTAAATTATTACTTACATGCAAATACATAAATGGTATTGGGATATTAAAATTGTATAAATGTCATGAGACACAAATAATATTGTAGACTACTTTACATATTGTGTACTTGATGCCTAGCTTGTTATATACATGATACTTATTCTATTAAGCTCTAATGACTTTTGGACAAAGATTTCATGTAACTTTGCCAATGTATTTAAGTTTCAATTGTTATAAAAAAAAGTTACTAATAAAATTTTTATAACTAATTATTACTAAGAAGAATATGAAAAATTATTAAATCCTCCTTATTATGAGGTAGATAATAATTAGAGGTTAGTTAGATTGATTGCATATAAAATCTTATAATTATTCTGTATAAAAGTTATTAGTATTCATTAAAAATTCAAATTATTCAAGATGACTATTACAAAATTTATGTGTGTTTGTAATTAATTTGTTATTAAATACTTTTTTAACATATTAAAAAATTGTAGATGAAATATATTTTTAATCCTAAGAGGGGGGGGAACATTTCATCCATTGAAAGAAGATAAAAAATTTTCATTTATTTATTAATTTTTGAGATAACATGGAGAAGAAAACCGTAAAAGATTTAACATAAACTAATATAATACATATTTATAAATAAATTACATATTTTAATTTTCATTTAAAAAATAAAAATAAAATTTAAAAATTGTTTATAGTGTATATAAAAATATTATTAAAATTTAAAATTTGTTTATTTTAAGTTCATTATTTTCCTAACAAAAATAGTATTTACTATAAACAATAATATTTATTAAAAATATAATTCAAATATTCATATAAATTATTTTGTCATATTAATAATTGAAAATAAAATAAAATATATGTATATCTTTTTAATAATATATTATTTGATACATGCATATATAGTTAAACAACATATATTTAATTTCATATATAATAAATGCAGGTGTATTACAGTTCAACTAATTAAGAAAAGAGATTAAGGCTTGGAGAAATGAGGTTAAGGGTTCAAACCTTGACTATAATAATCCAAAAATTTAAATAGATTAAAATATGGATTGTATTTTTATTTTGGGATAGCTTTACCAAGAATGATGGGTGGCTCAATGAAAATGACTAAGGATGAATATACCCAAGTCCCAAGTTCAAATCCTCCTAGACCACTAAGAAGGATTTTTATTTTTGCTTTATTATGAAATTATTATTATGCCCTTAGAAAAAAAATCATTGGTAGAGAGCAAAACACACACACATCTCTCTACTTTTATTCCTCTCCCAATGTCTTCTTTCCAGCGAGAGATCTAGGAGCTTTGAACAAAACTCTGCCATCCTCCCTCTTCTTCATATTCTTCTTTCTCGCATTTATCCTATCGCTGTCTTTGGTGCGTGCACAAGCTCCGTCTGCTGCTGCATGCCATTGCAAGCAGTGGAATCACGAGCTCTGTTTCTTCATGTACCGTCGCTCATCTCCCTGCTCCCATGGTTGTGATGTCATCCTAAGTACGTGTAGGCTTTGAGTTCGGTTCTCTACCTCTTTCTCTGTTTTACAATCCAGTTGTCAGCTTAATACTCTAGATGCATCAGCGGTGGTAGCCAAGGGAAAACTTTGATCTTCTCCCTCTTCTTTATGTGCGATGCTGGTTTCTGTGAGTATGA